TAATCTGAACTTCAAGATAATAAAGAGTCACTATTCTCTGTCTCTGATTGAGAATATGATTAACTGTCTTATGAAAGCTGTCATATTCACACAACTGAATATAATTAATGTATATACACAGCTGTAAATACAGTCTGAAAATAAATAAAAGACTGTCTTTAGAACTGCACTGAGATTATTTGAATATCTAGTAATATCTTTTAGTCTGACTAATATCTTCACAGCATTTCAGTCTTTTATCAATAAAATACTTCATGTATATCTGAATATCTTTGTGATAATATATCTGAATGATATGATAATGTACTTTACAAAGAAGAAAGAACACACTGAGTATATATAAAGTATATTAAAGATCTTAGATGAGATAGAACTGTATATTAAGCTTACAAAGTATAACTTCAGTGTCTGTTAAATTAATTTTCTAGAATATATAATCACTGTAGATAATATTCAGATAAAATCTTTGTAAATTGAGACTATTCTATCATAACTGAAGTTAACTAGTATTTATAAGATTTAGATCTTTCTAAGTTTTATGAATTTCTATAGACAGTTTATCTTTACATTTATAAGAATCTTCTTAACTCTTATAGATATACTGAAGAGTGAAAATAAGAAGAAGTTATCTCATAAATAAAGAATGAAAAGATTATTAAGAAGAAAGAACTGTAAGAACTTTCTTATCTCAGAAGCTCACAGAGTCTTTATAAGATTAAAATAGATATTCACAGATACAGTGATACTGTTTCACTTTAATCTCTTACTTTTAATCAGATTGAAGACAGATATCTTCTTCTTTACAATTTCAGAAATAGTCTTATAACTACAGTTAAATAAGAACTGAGTTTCAGTGATCTTTTTCTTACAGAAGATATAATCTGTGAAGATCAACTATAATATTCATAATCAGAAGCTTCTTATAATAGTGAAATTCTTTCATCACTAATATCACTACTTTGAGAGTCTTATAACAGTGATTACTGTTAGAATTAATTATAACAGCTTATAACAGTTTACTTCAATTAAGAAACTCTCACAGCAGTAGATTCACTGAGCTCAGAGACTGAGTGAGTTCTGATTCAAGATAGAATATATTAAGAGAACTAAGAACTCAGTAAATGAACTCTCTCACAGATCAGACTATATTAAGAAGATCAGAATGATAGATATAGAGAGACTAGAGAAAATAGAAAAGCTTTATAAGATGCTCAGACTGAGTGTTATAAAGAGATTAACTGAAGAGTCTCTCAATTCTCTATAAGAGAAGAAGAAGAAGAGAGAAAAGAAGCCTGTACAACTACTCTCTATAATACTGAGAGTTAACACTCTGAAGATCTCTGTGAGAATTCTTGAAGAGAGTATCTATAATCTGAAGAGTTTGCAGACTTTGAGAAGTACTACAGAAGATCTGATATAAGAAAAAACAGAGTATAAGTCTTTATAAGATCTTCTATTCAGATTATCTGAACTATAACTGAAGAATAAATATACTCAGTATATTCAGAAACTACTTATAGCAGAGATTAATTCTGCAGAAATAAAGAATTAAAGAGACTTAAATAATCTCTTATAAAGAGAGAACTGAATTTATATATTTATAAATGAGTTTCTATATATAGAACTTATTAAAAGATATTATAACTCTTCTTTAGTAAGTCATTTTATAAATACTAGAACTCATGAGTTACTTATAAGAAAATACTTCTAACTGAAGATATGAGAATTTATAAAGAAGATAGTGAATTCTTATACTATTTATCAGAATTCACAGATAGTGTGATTCAGATTATATAAAGAACTTACTTCTCTACTCATCTTATAGAAATCTTAAGAATAGCTAGAAATGAATACTCTTATAAGTCTCTCTAAAAGTAAGAACATATATAATACCTGCTTTAACAGTATGCTGATAATAGTGAATCACTTCATCAAGATAATATACTTTATACTCATTTATAAGAACTTAAAGTTAAAGAATTTAACTTATATTTTTATTTATAATATAATTCAGTTGTATGAATTATCTGTGAATATTATCTTAGATAGAGAATTAATCTTTATAGAAGAGTTCTGATCTGATTTGATAACTATACTGAAGATCTTATAAGATCTAAGTATAACTTTTTATTAACAGACAGATGATTAGATAGAATATCTGATAAGTATATTAAAACAGTATCTATGATACTTTATTAATTATAATCAGAATGACTGAGTACATTGATTATTACTTACAGAGTTTATATATAACAACTCAAAGTATATCAGCATAGATAAAATTCTCTTTGAGATACTCACTGAGACTTATCTATGAATGATCTTGATAGATCTGTGAGAGTATACTATAAAGTATGATAATATCTATGAATAGACTGAGAGAATTCAGAAGATCTGAGAGAAAGTCTGTGAATTCTTGAAAAAGACTTAAGAGTATCAGAAGAGATACTATGACTTCAAGTATATTATAAAGAGTTTTAAGAAAGATAATAGAGTCTGACTAAGTTTAGAAAATATCATTATATAGAGATCTAGTAAGAAGCTGAATCTCTTACAGATAGAGTCTTATAAAATTATGAAGAAAGTTAGTTTACAGTTCTATAGATTAAAACTATTATCTGAGTTATAGATATATAATATTTTTCATATCTCTTTACTGTATAAATATAAGAAATTCTTAGAAGAGAACTCTGTGACTCATCACTCTATCTATAAAGTACTAGAGAGTGAAAGAGAATATCAGATCAAAGAGATTATTAACTCAGAGAAGTAAGATTATAAGCTCTGATTCAAGATTCAGTGATAAGAATATTCTGATAAGATAAATAAATTCACTTAAGAATTATTTAAACAGATAAGATATCTACAGAAGCTGAGATATGACTTTTATACTATAAATTTTAATAAGTTAGAATAACACAGTTTTCACTAAGAATCTGATTGTGATAAAGATATTAACACTGTTATTTATAAACTCTAGTCTATAAAATAATAGATTTCTACTGAGATGAACAGTCTGCAGTGTATATAAGAGAAGAAGAAATCATATTCTTATTAAAGTTAAAAAACAGAAAATAAACAGAGCTGTGAACACAATTTAGAGATTAATAAAGAAAAAATAAAGAAAACTTATACTTATATTCTTAATACTTGTAACACTTAATTCTCTTATAACTATTAATTCTTCTCTTCAAAGAAGTAGAGAGTATTATATCTGTGATATAGATAATTATTACATTTAATATAAATACTGTCAGAAATGCACAGACTTCAGAGAAGCTGAATATCAGAGTATATATAGTTATAGCAGAGTCTTGAGAGCTGATTATCTACATATATAATCAGATACTTCTTATAAAGCTGTGTTCACTCTCTCAGTTATACTGAAGTATTCAGTCTGAAAATAATTGAGATGTGAAGAGAGAGCTTATCTATTCAGATTAACTCTTATCACAAATTTATAACATTTGTATTATCTTAATTATCTAAATTTTGTAAGTATTCAGAAACTCATCTCTCATTAATAATGAAATTATGAAAATGCACTGTGATATGAGAATCATTGATAGAAAATCTAGACATATTTACATATATCTGGTCAGAGATTGTGCAGACAGAGAAGAGATAATCATAGACTTATAAAGCTATAAAAGACACTGATAACACTGAGAGCTTTATAAGAACTGTTAACTAGAATCTGTAAGAAATTACTTATAAGAAGACTTACAGTAAAGAGAGAGACTATACTACTTAAAGTCAGAGACTACTCTGAGAGAGATAGAGAGTTAACTACTGATCTAAAGATTAGATATAATGATAGAACTGAGAGAGATAAAGACACAGTTATAAGTAACAGTATCTCTGCTTTATCAATCAGTAAAAAGTAATTAGAGAAGTTATAAAGATACTCATAAAAAGCTTAGTAATAATCAGATATTATTATAAAGATATTGAAATTGAAAAATTTTTTATTCTTAGAAAGTTCTTGAATCAATATATAGATATTATTAGAAATACTCTCTCTCTGTTATCTAAGTGAAAACACTTCACAGATAAATAAGAATACTCACAGTTTATAAGAATAAGAGCTATTATAGAAAAAGAAAAAAGAAGATAAGATTTCACAGACAGATCTGAGATATTTATACTACTTTAAAGAGATTTATTTACACTATGAGTGATTCTATGAAATAGTCAGATTACTCTAGTAAATAAGAGTGATTATAAATTATAAATCTGAATCTTTCTATATAACTATAAAGAGTGATTGCAGACTGTGAATATCTTGATTCTATAATTCTACAGAGTTAATAAAAGAATGAAAAATTTCTCACAATTCTACAGTATTAAAGAACAATGATTTATAAGAATAAGTAAAAGATTAACTTATAAATACTTCTCTTTAATAAAGATAATCTTATAGAGAGTGATTTATCTATGAGATGAATCTATATAATGATTATATAAGAATCTTATGAAAATAATTGAGAGTTAATTAGAACTTTTCTATATAAAAGATATAAGATAAATCTGTGTGATAGTTAGAGAAGAATCTATAAATTATAAAGAATCTCATAGAATAAGAAACTGAGTAATAGACTCTTTTCTCTTTATAGTAATAAGAGATTTTTTCTCACTGAGATTTTTTATAGATATAAAGGGTTTTTAGTGAGTATTACTACAGTGCTGAGCTGATTCTATAAAGTCACTCAGTGAAAGACTTCACAGACAAAGTCTTAGAGAGAGAGAGATATATAAGAAATCTCACTTCTCATGAATTCTTTATCTCTATTTCTATCTCTTGTGTAATCAATAGAGCTAGCAGCTCTTGGCTACATATAACTATATAGACTGGAGTTCATGAATACTATTTATAACTCAGCTTGAATGCTATTATACATTTGACTTCTACATTTTATCTTTCTATCACAAATACTTCTAGTAGTTAACAGTACATATCACACCAAGCTGCAAACACCCGAATAATCACCTGCGAGCACTTATTCTTACATTTAGTTAAATTTCAAAATAAAAAACTGTTTCTCACATATATTATTCTTCACTTCATCAAAGAGTATTATTCATGAATTATAGAGTTTTTTCATTTTTATTTATTTATTTTTTTTTTTTTCTGATGCAATAATAATACGAGGGAGAAAGAATCCCACCCGACTTAAAAAATTGGCCCCGAGCTCTTTCGCCATCCTAAAAAAGCCCCGCCTTAACTAATGCGGCTACTTCTTCTGATCCCATGGACTTGAAACCGCCAGTCGAAAACTCTTCGTGGGCTGGCAAAAGCAAATTTTTCCTTTCCTGCAGCCACCTCCCTACCTCTGGCTGTTCAGCGGGAGACACGATGAACTCTCTCTAGCGTCCCATCCAGCCGCCATCGGCGCAGATGATTTCCCCAGATACATAACTACTGGCTTCACTGGCCAAAAAAACCACCACCCCCTTGAAGTCCTCTGGGGTCCCCCACCTGCCGGCGGGAATCCGGGAAAGGATGGCGCTGCTCCTCTCTGGATTATTCATCAGCGCGGTGTTCATCTCCGTATCGATATATCCAGGTGCAATGGCGTTGACTGAAATCCCCTTGGACATCCATTCGTTCGACAGCGCCTTGGTTAGCTGTGCTACCCCGCCTTTTGACGATGCATATGCCGGAACCGTGATGCCTCCTTGGAACGAGAGGAGGGATGCCACGTTGATAATCGTTCCTCGCCGGGCAGACTGGAAGCTAGAAGCATCACGAGACAAGAGATATGCGCCGAATTCTCGACAGAGGGTAAACACAGACGTTAAGTTGACTTGGAGAACCTAATCGCCAGTCAGCTTCAGTCAGGGTCTTGTGAACACAAATTAGCACTGACAACGTAAGACGCTCAAGGAAGGCCGATGGTAGGGTAGTTTGTAACATCCAGATGCGGGAAGGGTCCCAATGGCAGGCTATTTTGCAACATATGATCTGCGCAACGATGTCCGCTAGGTTTCAAACCGCTTCACCGGACCGCCATCCCGGGATATATGTGCCCGAACATATAGATAAAAAGGGGCGTCTTGACAGCAGGAAATCACAAGAAGACACATAAAACATAGGGCAGCGACCCGCTGTCGAAAACGAACAACCAAGCCAAGAAAACGCATATGATATCAACTCACCTCATTCCAATCGTCATCCGGGAAGCTCTCACTCGGATGCCTTCTCTGGACCCCTGCACAGTTCAACAGAATATCCACATTTCTCCTCTCCTCCACGATGGCGGGCATTATTCCCTTGACGGAATCCTGGTCGGCAAGGTCTGCAACATGTATTGACGCCTTTCTTCTTGTCCGACTAATGATCTCATCGCGAGTGCTGGTGTCTTTTTCGTCTCGCTAAAAAAAACAAAAGAGGGGTAAAGTAGTTGAGCTAGTTAGCAGGGGGGTTTATAGCTGCAGGTTGATCACTTGCTGTATCTCTTTTAGGCCTGTGATAGATGGAGTGGGGAAGGGGGGGGGGGGGAGAGAGTGGATGACGAGGCAAAGTTGCAGCCATTCTATTGATTTTTCCCTGGGTCCTTCGTCTTCCCCCGCGAAGATATATAATGAAAGCAGATCCCGTCCTTCGTCCGGAGAGAGAACAGGACGTAGGAGTAGGAACAAAAGAGGCATAAGATGGAGAAGGAGGGAGAAGAGCAACCAGCATTCCTCTGACCTGCTTCTCCTCCATTTTCTTCCTCCTTGCTTTCTTTCTTTCTTTCTTTCTTTCTTTCTTTCTTTTTTTTTTTTTTTTTTTTCTGGGAAGTTGGCAGAAAGGAGCCAGGCGATCAACTTGTGCCAAATGTACTACAGCCTCGAGGATTCAGGTGACTATGCACCTCATCCCATGACTATTTTCTATAAGAAATGCAACTGCTGGTAAAGGTCGTTTTCCAAACAGGCATTTGTCAACGAATATAACCATCCCTTCTGGAATGGGAATTGGTAGATCAAATAGGCAATAATAGAACAAACGGTAAGTGTTCACGATAAGGTAAACAGGACAAGATCCGACAAACAAGATGGAGAAAATGGGAACGGCGATGATACATAGTTATCATCACAGCTCTCAACTTCATTGCCTCAAACCGACGATGGAGCATCAACAAACTCAGTTCATCACAATTCATCTGTGACGAAGAATTCCAGAAACATAACATAACCAGTAATCCTATTGAAAAAAAAAAAAAAAAAAAAAAAAAAAAAAAAAATTCACACTCACCTGCACAAGAATAATATCCGCCCCCGCCTCCGCCAACGCAAGCGCCATCGCGCGTCCCAGGCCGCGGGTACCACCGGTCACCATGGCGGTCTTCCCGGCCAGCGAGAACAGCGAGAACACCGCGCCCGCTGAGGGGAGACAGGGGCCTGTTTCTGACTGTTGTTGTTGCTGCTCCTGCTGCTGCTGGGGCTGCTGCTGGGCAGGGTCCGAGGTGGAAGAATGTGACATGATTTGTTAGAATGTATTTTGATTGCTGTTGATTTCGGCTCGGTACAATGGAATCTTTAAGGGAATAGTGGTTGCTGTATGTAAATGTGGCCAGCTAGCTAGCTGTGAAGAATGGGAGGTTGATGATAATAATATTTGATAAATGTGTTTTTTCTTGTGTGCCTATTTTCCTTCCACGAAGAGAAAGACTGGGGGTTTTCGGGATTGGATCCAGGGTTTCTGATGGCAGATCCGGGATTTAATAGTTAGTAGTACGGAGTAGTTATAGTTACAATAATGTAACGTAATCAAACCACCTAACGCTCGTTTCCACCTAACGGTGTATACAGAAAACTTGACCTCGCTAAGTGCGCCACTTGACCTCATTACATAATCATGACCCTGATCTCGCACAATACAGTAATAATCAGTTGATAATTGACTTTCAATCTTTCAATTCACTCAATCTTTCAATTCACTCATTCTCATTCACTCAGTTCATTCATCAATCAAAGCATGTATAGCTGATTCATAATCAATTAAATGAACAGACAAATTCATATAAAATATAAATAAAGAGATGTTTTACAAAATTTTAAAATATATTAAGATAAAAATATTTAATAATTGATTTTAAATTGATTCTGAATTGATTGCTAATTGATTATAATAATAAAAATAGATTCAATCTATATATTTAAGTAATTAATAATTGATTGAAAATCAGTTAATAATTAATTCAGTGTAAGTTATATAAATACTTACTTTATTATTAAATTCAAGAATAATTTCAGTATTAAATTGATTTTGAATTGATTTTAAATTAATTAAGAATTGATTATAGAATTGATGATAAATAATTAAGTGATTTTAAATTATAAGAAAAGATGTATTAAGTGAGATCAGAGAGTAGTATGAGTTATATTTATAAGATTAACTTATATAACAAGGTCAAGTGACTAGACTGACTGTCAGAACTATGAATTTCACATTTAATTTCATTTAATCTGATTTTATACATTTCTTGATATAAGTCTTATTAGAATCAAGTCTAGACTGACTACTAGAATCATGAATTTCACATTTAATCTCATTTAATCTGATCTCAAACATTTCTTGATATGAATCCCACTGGAACTAACTATTAAAAAAACATGTAAAGTAACTATATATCAGATTTTAAAATGAAATCATGACTTGAAAAAAATGAGAAAGTAGTTTCATTTGATCTTATTTAGTCTCATTCTTAGTATAAAGTTACTATTTTTAGACATTTTAAGGTTTTTTTTAGACTATTTTTAATTTTTTAAAAAGTAACACTTTTTGATAACACTTAAATGAGATTTAAAGTCATTTAAAGCAATAAAAATAATTTAAATTGAGAAGTGAAAATCATAATCTCATTTAAAAAATGTGATAAGAGTAGACAGTAAGTCTCACTGAGACAGTATAAGACTACTATTTAATGTTAAAACTGTGTAATGAGATCAGTTAAATTGATAATGAAACTATTAAAAAATCTGATTCTGATCTCAGACACGGTTACACAGTCAGTCTAATCAAGTCTTAAAAAAATCTGAAAATAAATTATTTCTGAGAGAAATAGCATGAAAAATGACTAGATTTAATTCAAGAACAGTGAAATGAGAGTAATTTCTCAGAATAAACTGTAAAAAATAACCATTCTTTCAAAATCAGAATGAGACTGAGACTGAAGATTAAATTCAGTCTCATTCAGTTTATTCAGTGATTGCTTATATAATCAGAATTTAGTAATAATTATTGATAATACTTATGAAATAATTAAATACATTCTTATGTAAGTTTATTCTGTACTTTCTTATAAAAAAACTGTCTGATAATTTCATATTTTACAATTATAAGTTTCTTGATTGTTTCTTCTTATAATTGTTCTCAGCAATAGTAATAAATATCTCAGCATGAATTGAACTTTTGCTTTATTCTCATCTCTGTCAATGAAATTGTCAGAATATCACACATCATCAGTACAACTGTTGAATATATACTCTTAACAATTTTTTATAACTCTAGAATTGATTTAGTGTGTAAATTCATTGAATTATCTTGAAAATAGTAATTAAATTCAGTTTTACAAGTATGTAGTTTTATCTGATTTTCAGTTGTAATCAATGTATGTAAGTTCTGTTTCAAAGTTAGCATTATAGTTCTATGTAATATAAAGTGTTATTAAAAATTATTACTAACTAGAGAATTGTATTTCACTGTCTTTACATCTCTAATATCTACTTATTCAAATCTCTAATAGTTAGTATTATAGTAGTCTTAGATTAATTTAATATATAAGTCTCATTTCTTCTCTATTTAATCTTGAGAAGTGTGAATATTAACTTGACAGAAGAGATCTAGTAGAGTTAAACTTTTACTTTATTCTCATCTCTATAAATGAAATTGTTAAAATATCACATATTATCAGTGCAACAGTTGAATATATACTCTTAATAATTTTTCATAACTCTAGAATTAATTTAGTGTGTAAATTCATTGAATTATCTTGAAGATAGTAATCAAATTCAGTTTTACAAGCATGTAGTTTTGCCTGATTTTCAGTTGTAATCAATGTATACAAGTTCTGTTTCAAAGTTAGTATTATAGTTCTATGTAATATAAAGTGTTATTAAAGATTGTTACTTACTAGAGAATTGTATTTCACTGTCTTTACATTTCTAACATCTGCTTATTCAAATCTCTGATAGTTAGTATTGTAGTAGTCTCAGGTTAATTTAATATACAAGTCTCATTTCTTCTCTATTCAATCTTGAGAAGTGTAGATGTTAACTTGACAGAAGAGATCTAGTAGAGCTGCTATAGTATTGTGATTCAAAGGTTGCTTAAGCCAGCATATGATTACAGGCGTACGCCGGCTTCTTATATATTGTATGTTAAATTAATTAGTGGCTGCTATGACCTCTTTACACTCATAAGCAAGTTCAGAAGTAGCTGTGTTATTATTCAATAATTATACATTCTTTCAAGTCACATTCTCTCTCATCAGATTCAGTCACACTCACATGATCATAACATTCACTCTAGTCTCATGTGAATTAGCATGTCACTAGTGTTCATGATCTTGTGACCTATCTCTGATTCAGCTAGTGTCTTACATATACTCTCTCAAAGCAACTTTTACTATATTACATTACTCATTCACTAACTTTTCTCATTCTTTAATCATCTTTTTCATCATCATTATTATCAAATGTTATTATTATCTTATTCAAGATTACTGCTTCTTCTTCTGTTTAACACCTTCTATTTATTAATCTATTATATTATACACATTTCTGATGATAATCTCTCATTCTTATAATAAGCATTATTATAGTGCTCATACTGAGCAGTTTATTAGCAGTAAGTGTAACACATTTATGAAATGTATATGATCAGAACTTGTTTATCTTCTAATAATTATCAGAATATATTATCATGAAGAATACATCTTCTTCATCTTCTCATATATTCTTGACTGTTTTCCTTCTCAGTGAGTTTCTGATTGTGTTTTCTGACATGATTTTGCATGAATGCAGATGCTGATATATTTGTTTTTATTTATATAGAATCTTCACATGTTGACAGATCTGCATTTATCAATGATAGTGAACTCAATATTAAATCATTGATTGAGAACTTAAAGAACACAATAATGAAGAAATTGTCTATATTATGTGTAACTGAGTCTCTTATATCTCTCTCTGTCTTCTCTATTTCTTTCTCTGCTGTCTCTTCTCAATCTTCTACATCTATTTCTGTATCTGATTCTCCTGCTTCTGCTACCTCTGTTTCTGCAATTCTTACTTCTGCTACTTCTGATTTTATTATCTCTGCTTTCATTATCAGCTCTTCCTGTTTCAAGAAGATGTTGTATAGACTTAATGAATTACATTTCTCAGTATATATACTTCTACTCTTCTTATTAACTCTTAGAATAATTTATTGTATAAAGACTGTATATAATACAACTATCTAAAGCTCAGTCACAGACATTAATTATTACATTTATTTTAAATATTCATGATAAAGCAATTATTCATTTATATCAGAGAATCATTCTCTCTCTTAACAGTATTAAAATTATAAGTCTTTTTCTTTTTTATCTTTTCTTTCTGATACTGATTTTTCTGTTTTTAGAGAAAATCATTATAAGTTTTACTATATACAAAGTCATGACATTTACAGATATTAAGGAACTTTTCACAACTGTAAAGTTTAATATTATAAAAATATTCACTCTGATGAATTTCTTCAGAATGATAGATTCATATCAGTCTATTCTCTGATATCTGTCATTCAACTTCATGATGCAGGTGAAAGATATTCATGTTTTTAAGAATGAGAATGCAGATATCATACTTTTTTATACTTACAGATATGAGACTTGTATGTCTTGTCTGAGATGTTATTATAAGAATGAGTCATTCACTCACTGCATTCTGCTTTCTGCATTTCTCTGTATCTCTCTCTCTCTTTCAGAGGAGCCTTATATGTGTTATAATTATATATACAACTCTAAGGTCAGTGAGTATTCATTTAGTAACTGTTCTTACTTCTGATTTTACAGTTTTTATACACTAATAATAATTCTTAGTTACTTCAGTGTTAGAGATCATTCTAATTGAAGATAATAACATCACTGAGACTATCTTCTTCTGCTCTTAAGCTTCTTCTGTTACTTCTTCTTTCTTCTCTGTGAGAAAGGTTATATACATACTGAGTCATAAGTGTTCAGCTCTGAGTGACTTCTGCTGTTATTCATTCAGTTCTATATCTTCTTCTTCTTCTATTTCTTTCATCTTCACTTCTTCTGCTCTGACTTCTGATTCTGTGAGTCTCACACTTCTTCAATTTTTCTATATGTATGTGTACACATTTCTATATTGACATTCCAGTCAATCTTGTGATAAATGACATTAATGTTGTACACAGAGCAGTAGAGAAATCAGAGATATATACAGTATTATTATAAGAGTGACTTACAGTTCTTGAATCTCTTACAGATCTTAAGTTTTGAGATTTTCTTTATTTTTAACATTTTTTAAGTGATATGATGTTGGAAATAGATTAACATGTAATGTATGAAAATGAATGAAGTGTATATAATAATATTTGTCTTTTACAGTCAACTCTTACAGTTGATGATCAATTCATTATCTCTTTTCTTTTCTTACACTTTTTCTTTATCTGTTAGTCACTACTCTTACATAATCTCTATATAATACAGTGTTCAGTGACTAGGTTTAGCAGCTTTCATCTTTTATAATTCTGTCTCATGCATTATACTGTCTC